GTGAATCGGTTTGCTCGCTTATACTCTGCCTCCGCCTGGAAGCGATTTCTCGCTCTTTACTCATACCGCTCATCATCGATTATCTCTCGCACTCTCATTCTTTGCTTGATTCAGACTAATGATACGTGATCTATTCTATTCCCACTTCATGTTATGCGATACGTGTTGGGAACACCAGTGAGGATCATGCTTATTCACACCCGTCTGTCGCGTTGCCGCTCCCGCTTCAGATGGGCAATTGCTTCCAACATTTCCTCCACCGTCACAGACCGCATACGATCACGCTGTGCCTGGCGGCTTGACTCGTCCGTACCGCGTTGCCTCTCCCACGACACAAATCCCTCGCCAAAATCGTGACGAAGAACGTCGATCTGCGTGCATTCGATATCGCAGTTCTTGAACTCCAGCTGCCTGAGGTTCGCGACAGACTGTATTCTGTCCGGGCCCGTACGCCGATGGAGGACCGAGACCAGCGCGTCGAACGGCACACAAGCTGGTTTCCTCTCGCTGGCCAGCTCTGAGGGCGGTACGAACGATAGTTCTTCGAAAGTGAGATCGACAAGATCGCGATGTGTGACGCCTTCGTCCTCTCTGAGGAGTCCCAGTATCGCTTGTATGCCAGTATGCCCGTAAAAGTGGGCTACGCTGACTTGCTCGAGCGACGACAACATAGTGTTCCACTGCATGGGATCAGTATCGGCAAAAGGATCCGGCGCAGTCGTTTCGTATGTGTTATTGGAACTAGCTTCTTCCGTGAAGGTAAGCGCGCGAGCCGATCGACGAAGAGCTTGACCAGTTCTCGTGACGTGAACGAGTTGTCGTCGCTCAGGCTGAGAGAGAAAGGCAGCATATGAGGACGGACGCGGAGAGTCCTGGCGCCTTTGGAAGAAATTGGGATTAACTTTGCGGGAGTTTGTGTAGTCGTAGGAAAGCGTTGTGCACGGTCGGCTCCGACGACCAAGCGCCGTCGTCCATATTCGAGAGATACGTCCAAGAGCAGGCTGTCGAAGTAATAACCCTCTGAAATGAGTGGCGCATAGTGCGCGGCGAGGGAGGCCACAATCCCTTCGATCAAATCACGGATAGCGTTTTCCTCCTCAGGTTGGTGCAGGGCGTTAAGTTCGATGCGTGCCGTGGGTGGGAATACCAAGCATTTGAGTAGATACGCAATATGCGCCAGGGGCTCGCACAATATGAGTTCTCGAAGATTCGGTAGTGACACCCGCCGTGCGTCATTTATCAGCTCAGATATGTCGAACTCAGGAAGCGCGCCTGCCTGGTCCCAGCTCTCATCGAGGTTCTTGTCGCGGTCGATGGCGAGGACTTCGAGTGTGGGAAGGGCCGAAAGGGCATTGAGTGCATCGTCCATAGTTTCCCATACGGCGCCACACTCGAGTTTCAGGACGGTAAGCGGCGCCGCAAAAAGATGGGGGCAAGGGAGACTCCGTTGATCTATGCCACGTAGCAACGATAGATGACGGAGGTTCCGCGGCGTATGTCGGTCCAGAAAGGATGCGTATTCGCCATACAGCTCGTGCCATTGTAGGTTGACATACACAGATTCCAGTTGGGGCATCGGAGTTGATCCTAGGAACGTGAAGATCTTATGGGTCAACCAAGTGATCCTGTCGTCGTCGAACACCGAGGCGTCGATATCGAGTATGTGTATACGATGGCTCTCCGATAGCGCTTTCATAATCCCATCGTGCAAGTGATAGAGCTCAAACGGCGCTCTCACTGCGTCTTCGTCGGTGCGAGACCAAGGGCTGTAGTCCAGCGAAATGGAGACCGACACCGGCAGAGGTCGGGAGCGCTCGAGGGATATGCTGGCCCAAAACTCATTCACGAGTGGAATGCTCGTCCATAAGATTTTAGAGTTCAAAGCAGTAGTACGCCAACGCGAGCACACTTGAGACAGGGCGCGAGGGTCATCTAGTGACGTGGTCGATCTACGTTCTGCGTAGACTTCGAGTTGGCGAGAAGTAAGATGTTCGGATATAATCAAGAGTAGCTCAGGCGGTAGCTTGCTCGTGAGCGATGTAGTGGACGGCCCCTTCGACTTATCGGGGGTAATGCCGGGCGGCATCATGGTCGGGGCAATCGGCAGGTCGTCGAGCCTTCGCGAACAGTGGCAGGCTGGCCCTGCGGTAATGACGCTTCCGGTGGACGCAGGGAGGGGTATATTAGGCGGACCAGGCCTTTGGCAGTATGTTTTGGGTATGTGTAGGAGGTGGTATCGTAGCCCAGAAGCGTCTTAAGGACAAGATTGAGTGAATGCCAGTCGCTGGCAAATTGGCACTTACTTGGGTTCTGATGAACGTTCAGGACAAGTTCGGCCGAGCCGCCGAATGCGCCGGGCGCAATCGCTATGCACACGAATAACCCACGTCTACACTGTACCTGTATTGCTCGAACAGAAGGCATAAGACCTTTCTGGGAGAATGGCTTGCGTGCTATGATCCATGTACGAGTACTTACAAGGTAAAGCTCAAAGTTGCGTGTCGGCAACACACAAGACACGACTCGGGCGCGCTGGCCAGCTCGTGCAACGTGCGAACCCACACAGCAACAGCCGACGCGTCCAGCTCCCCAAGTCAAGTATTCCCGACGTCTTCGGACAACTTCACCCAAACTTCACCGGAACAGAACTCACCATCGCTGAGCGAGTGTTCTGTACACCAATGAAGACAATTCAGACTACCCCGACGAGCCGGTCGCACCGCTGATTTGTCTTTTCTTCGGCTTTACCGAAGTACTCAGCAACGTCAGCGAGTTCCAGTGCATGGTGGTCAGGCTCTAACGTGGAAAAAAGTCTTCTTGTTTCAATGGATGGGCATGATAGACGGACGATCTTCCTCATTATGTCCTCGGCAATCGCTATGTAGGATACATTCGAGCAAATCAGCAAAAAGCAACTGGTCGATGCTCTACGCGTACATCTCCAAATCGTCCGTCTTCTCTTCACATCTCCTCCGAAGAGGAACCCAAACTCTCCGCCGACATGGACCACATACGCTCGTGTCTCGCGTGGCTGCTTGATTCGTCCGTACCGCGCTGCCTTCCATCCCACGACACAAAGTCCTCGCCGAGATCGCAGCGAAGAACGTCGATCTGGGCACGGTCGATATCGCAGGACTTCAGTTTCAGGCGCCTCAGGTTCGCGACGGACTGCATCCTGTCCTGACCAGTACGCCGGTTTAGCACCGAGACAAGCGTGTCAAAAGACACGCAAGCTGGTTTCCTTTCGCTAGCAAGTTCTGAGGGTGCTACGAACGACACTTCTTCGATTGTGAGATCGACAAGATGGCTGTAGGTGACGCCTTCGTCTTCCCTGAGGAGCCCGAGTATCGCGTGTACGCCAGTGTGACCGTAAAAGTGGGCTACGCTGACTTGCTTGAGCGGTGACATCATGGTGTTCCACTGCACAGGATCACTATCGTCGAAAGGATCCGGCGCGGTCCTTTCGTATGTGTGATTAGAGTAGACTTCTTCCGTGAAGGTGAGCGCGCGAGCCGAGCGAAAGACTGGGAGGTCGACAAAGCTCTCTATGAGCCCTCGCTCCGAGAACGAGTTGTCGTCGCACAGACAAAAAGAGAAGGGAAGTTTATAGATCTGGACGCAGATGTGCCTGTGCTTGTTGAGCCCAATGGGGATCAGCCTGATCGAATGTTGTCCGGTAATGGTAGAAGAGGGCACGGCAATATGGTCCGCAGCAACTAAAAGGCGGCGCCGTCGATACCAAACAGACAGGTCCAGAAGCAGACTATCGAAATAGCGACCCTCCTCAACAAGCGGTGCGTAATGCGCCTTCAGGGCCGATGTGGCAACTGCGATTGAACTGCGAACAGTGCCTTCTGCCGCGACTGAATTTTTCATAGCGTGGAGATCGATGCGGGCCGTGGGCGGAAAGACTAGGTTCTTGAGAAGGTATGCGATTTGCGCAAGAGGCTCGCGAAGTACGAGCTCTCGAAGTTTCGGCAGATGCACCGGTTGCACGTCGTCCATCAGCTCGGACATGTCCACGTCGGGGAGCGCACTCGGCTGGTCCGGGTCATCATCGAGGTGCTTATCGCGATCGATGGAAAGGACTTCGAGGTTATGAAGGAGGGAGAGGGTATGCAAAGCGTCCTCCATAGTCTCCCATACGGTCTCGCACTCGAGCTTTAGATGGGTGAGCGATGGCGCAAGGAGATGAGCACAAGGAAGTATCGCAATATCGATGCCGCGTAATAGCGATAAGTGGCGTAGGTTCTCGGGGGTATGGTGGCCTAGAAAGGACGAGTATCTTCCGGGAAGTTCGTACCACTGTAGATCGACATGGACGAATTCAAGTCGGGGCATCTGGATCGACTGGAGTAGGGATAACGTCTTGTGTAAAAGCCAGTCGGTTTCATCGCAGTCAAACTCCGACATTCCGACATCGATTCTAAGCGAGCGTATGCGATGGCTCTCCGTCAAAGCCTTTCGAATCCCGTCGTACATGAGATCTGAGCCCGATGTAGCTCTGACTGTGTCTTCTTCCGCTTCGCACCCTGCAATGCATTCGAATAGTATAGATATCTCCACCGGCAGGGGTCTGGATCGTTCAAGAGAAGCATTGGCCCAGAATTCGTTCGCAGTTGGGATATTCGTCCATAGTTGTCTAGAGCTCAAAGCGATCGAACGCCAGCTTGAACACACTTGTGATACGGCGCGAGAGTTGTCCCATTTCGTGCGTGGGTTGTACAAGGACCGACAAGGGTGGGCTCCGAGAGTACCGAGAGTTTCGAATATGATCGCGAGTATCTCGGGAGGTAGCTTTCTCGTATGCGACGAAGAGGATAGTTCTCCCATAGTATTGTCGATGGCAATCGTCAATGCCAGAATGAGCCGTAATGAGGGCGACCGGCGGCTTGTCGAGCCTTCGCGGACGCTGGCGGACGGGACCTGTGGAAGTTGTATTCCCAATGTCCGCAGGAGGTGGTGCAGGGACTTAGGGGCGTTTCGAAGACGGGGTGAAGTTGGAGTCAAAGTCAACTGCTGGCAAGTTGGCGCTTGCTTGAGGTCGCCGCTCCGGGCCGTGCGTGGCCGAGATGAACGTTCAGAAGAAGTTCCTGTCAACGGCGGACTCGGAAGCGGCAATGGCGCGCTATGCGTCGCGGTCATCTTATGGTATCGCCTACACCAGCCCGCGCTCGTCTCTCTTACATGCTCAAGTACTACGCCGGTCTGCATCGAATCTTGTGCGTGTGATACAAATATCTGGGCCTCGGCGTCGGTAGCGTGTGAATACACAGGCGGCAACGGCCGACGGTTGCCGACGCGTCCTTCCTAAGTTGATCCCTACGTCTTCAGACCCTCAGAAGGCAGCTTTGTCGTCTCTGATCTTATCGCTCCTTATGGTATCTGCGCATTCTTCAATCTTATCTACCTGTGTGTTTTTTACGCTACATCGAGTCCGATATGCTTGCAGCTGGACGCGTTTGCTTGAGCTGTTAACCGGACTTGAGAACGAGCGCAGTCCTACATTCTTGCACTGCTCAACGAGCTAAGACCAGACCGGCCATGCCAGTGCACCTTCTCACGCCGTCGCTCTGGCCAATGCGAAGTTGGGGCAAACCGGCACTGCGAAGCCGATCAAGTTGGAGGGCGGCGAGGAGGGGAGCGGAGGGCGCCCATCGCCAAGCCTGGCAAGAAGCCCCAACATCTGGTGAATGGGCGCGATGTTGCGATGACCGCAAATACCCTCAAGGTACATGCCTATCATATCTCTAGCGGATATCAGCGCGGACAGCGGCCTACTCGCTCATGTATTTGTCGTGCACGTCTGGCGTATGAACATACACGAATGCGGTTGGCGGTGCATGCAGTAGGGATTCCGGTTAGTTCTCACAGGGCAGGGAGTCCCACCCTAAATATGGCAGCTCATGAAGTACGATATGGAAGGTGGCAATGCGCGGCCTCGTTGTACGGGCATGGCGGCGCCTTCGGAGATGGAATGAGCGCTTAGGTTCTCTGAATATAGATGGATGCGCCGGTTTCGGCAGCTGTATCGTGGCCTGTAGGGCATGCCAGTGCCGTGCCGAGTTTGTGCTGCTTTCATGAGGCACCTGTCGTTCCGGAGGCAAGCTCACAAACGCCAGGTCTGACTTTGGTTTGCTACCACCACCAACCACCGCCGGTCCTACCTCGAAAGTATACTCGCCATGGCATCGGCTGCTCACCAAAGGCCATTTGCTGAATCGCCGCCTGATAAGAAGTCAGGTGATGGCATGTGGAAAGCGTACTTAGATGCGGTCGAAGACGAAGACAAGGCCAGCGTCGAGAGCTGGAACGGTTCCACGACAGGCATCCTCACCTTCGTACGTCCATCATCACATCATCTTAGCAGCTATCACTCACGGTGGGATGATAGACCGGTCTCTTCGCGGCGACTGTGACCTGTCGCTGCTTTCGTTATCGAGAGCTACAAGGCACTTTCGCCTGACACAGGTGCTCAGACGGTTGCTCTCTTAGCTCAGCTCGTAGAAGCAACGAATGCGACTCCGGTCATACCGGCCATTGATATCCAATCTGGGCCATTCCTCGCTCCCGAGACTGCAGTCGTGGTCAACTCTCTATGGTTTCTGAGTCTTGTCATCTCGCTGGTTTGCGCGCTCCTAGCGACTCTGATACAGGAATGGACGAGGGACTTCCTTCGTGACATACAGCGTCGCAACGCAAATACAACGATATCGGATTTCGCATTGAATCACGTATACGTGCGCACTGGCATTGAACGCTGGGGCCTAGATAACGTTGCAAGTGTCATCGTCGCTCTGATGCACCTAGCAGTCGCGCTCTTTATCGTCGGGCTAGGGATATTTCTGATCCCGATTCATCACACTCCAGCTTGGGTTGTCATTGGAACAGCAATCATCGCAGCTACTCTATATGTGATCTCCAGTGGACTATTCTTCTATGATAATAGCTGTCCATATCGCACACCGCTCACATATTTGTTTTATGAACTATATCGTCTGGTTACTGTGTGTATCGGTGTGCTCTGGGTCCTGTTTTACTTGACGTGTCTTATGCCGTTCATGATCCTGATCTGGTTGATAATGGAATTGATGTCTCTCAAGTACGGGATGGTTTACTGGTCCGATATGTCGCAAAACATCTACGATGGTATGCTCTGTGATAATTATCGTGCCATGCATTTTTCCCGCGAGCTCCTGGACATATTTACGATATCGGTCGCGCGCCGTCCTCCGAATCACCGAGAGAGAGCTTTTTTGACGCGAGCACAATTGTTGTTTGTGTGGCGATATGTTGGAGATTTCATGACCAGCTCCATCGGCCGCCCAGCTCTTGTAGACTATATTCCACTTCATTTGATCCCCACAATGAAGCCGCGTGAAAGACCATTCTTTGTGCATGATTTGTTAGTCTCGTTGCCGGGGACCTACGATGCCTTCGCAAAGGCACGGTCTTCTGTTGTTGACATTTCGGAGGCAGTCGGGATAGTGAAACTTCTGAACGACTATCTTGCGGAGGGACTATATCGGCAAAACTTGAACGAGTCAGCTCGCGGGCATACTTCTGATGCCTATAAAACCCGTATCACACGGAACCTAGTGTTCGCTGGAGACGCGGCATATCTTCTTGATAGAATAAACTACAAAGCATTGACAGGGAGCGACTTGAGGGTACTAATAGCCTTGTCCGCCTTGCGTCGAACAATGATACGAAGAATTCATGCCAATCATCACAGCTGGGGTTCTTTGAACGCCATGGGTGGGTTTGAAGGTATTCGAGGCTTTCGTCTATTGCCTTTGCATGCAACGGACGGATGGTTTATGCCTTCGAGTGCATCGGACGAATGGGATAAACTTGATGATAATCCCCATGAAGCATCGTCCTATATGAAAGCCATGGCGGCCCGTAACGTCTTCACCTTGTGGACATATCTGGTGTTGTCATGGGATAAATCTGAAGAGTGGTCTGTTTGTATAACAAAATGGACCTGGCTGCATCCTCGGGATACGTCCATTGACGACAAGACATATTCTTGGAAATACCACGGACTTTCACTGACCAAAGACGATGAATCTCTGAAAGACATCGAACGACGTCCCGCTTCCCTCTTATTCCAGACGATCCTCCACCGTTATGAGTTACATATCGAAAGCTCAAACGGGAACTGGCATATGCGTTATGGCCGGGCCGGATGGGATATTAGGCTTGTGAGGGAAATGACAAAGTATCTCAAGAGTCTTGTCATCCTGCCATCTGATCTGCCAGCAGAGCAACTGCTGACCGACAGCCAGTTAGAAGAAGAGTATGGAATCATTCTTCCACGGAAACCCGATCCTGTCGGAGAGAGCTCTTCACCGGAAGCTGCGCGGGGCCCCCATGCGCCGCAGACAGGACAATCTGCCATAGGAAACGCCGCGGCTGAGACCGACGTTCACCGTAGCGACGGTCGCACTGGCAAGAACAGCTCAGCAAGTGTACATCGCGGCGATAGCCCAGACCTCGCACCTGTACACGCACCGTCTTCCTCGAGCGAAGCTGTCGTCGTAGATCGACCTGCTGATGACGAGCACGGGGCGCCCAGCACCTCAGCATTACGGAGAGCGGAAGAGGGTGTCGGGGTTGAAGACGATATTGAAGACGATGACCGGTCGGCTGCACACGACGAAGGCGGGAACAGCGTTTAATCAATGGTCGAGAGCCTCGAATCAACGTGCGTTACCTTTCGCGGGGGTCCGAGGGCTTGTTGTTCTTCAACCGAATGTATCACATCTCTCTACCAGACGTCGCATCAGCGCGAGCTCAATATGTAGACTGCCATTTCGTGTAAGATATGCAAGGGCGACATACGTAACTTATTGTGACGATGTATCCAGTTCTTGTTTGATAGTGGCCAGATGTGATTAGTTTCGCATGTCTGTATTGACAGTAGTTCCACCTGACATGTGCCTGTGATACGAGTAAGGCGAGAAGAAGAGAGCGATGGAGTTAGCGCCCACGAACTAGACTCGCCACTGGTAAGTTTCGAGGAATGGCAGGCGCCGCTGGTGTGGGTTGCCGAATTGTCGGGATGGTGCGGAGCGGCTGACAGTACTTTGTACTTCCCATAGCCAGTGTTGCCGTAGGCTGAGTCCAACTCGTATTGAGTGAGTTGAGTCAAATTTGGGTGAGGCTCGCCGAGCATCAATTTGACTCGACTCGAGTGCGATCTGAGGGCGGTCGTGAGCTGGCCCCGTCATCGTTGGATGTGGTGAGCTCGTTATCGGCAAAGTCCGGTGGAGGGCGGAAGGGCCGCTGGCCGTAGAACGACGCCTATTCGCCGTTACCGCGTCGTAGAGCCCTGAAACAGCCACAGAGCGCGCATGACGGGACTGCTGAGGTCTGCTCCAGTAGAATCAGCATAAATATGAGCTTAAAGGCACTGCTCTGAGTAGGGCACTTATTCACGCACTCGCGTGTCCGCCTCACTGCAGCTTGAGTACTTGAGTTCCCTTGCGCTCGTCCAGTTGGGTCGAGTTGAGTCTTGGTTGAGTTGCACCACCGCTCTGCAACTCAACTCGTCACGGACTCAACTCGGGGCGACACTGGCCATAGTTCTGTCGAGGAGAACGAATATGAACCTTGCCCATCTACAATGTGCCGAATGAGCTTCGGGACACGTCCCACAGTTATTTAAAGAGCCACCCACCGGACCATATATCTGGTAGAGACCCAGTGAGCGGTGTCCGCGCTGAACTGCGCGTCAGCTATCGCGACTGTCCGTACATCCATTGCGTTGTCCATCAGCTACTGCACGCCCAGCAAGGCGCCGCATCGAGCGCATCAACATGATCAAGGCGCTGGAACCCTGTGATTCCCTTGGGCGTAATCCGCGGTATCCGGGACTCAAGTGGTTGCAGTCTAAAGACATCGGCATTTATGCACTAACATGCGCGGGCGAGTCGTACAGAATGGACAGTCGAGGTAAACAGCAGTTGTAAGCAGGTCTTCATCGTAGAAGAACCTTGGTATATCTCAATAGGGCGGTGCATCGAAGATGAGCGCCGGTCGCAACGTCTCAGCGCGCACGAACGTGGCACCGCGAGCGCACGGCAACGGCCGACGCGTTTCCCAGCTTCGAGCCTTGGCCCGCGCGCAGCTCCGTCATCTCAATCCCAACTGCTCGTCGCCGGCCGAAACCAATGAGCTCGTCGCCGCCCGCAGCCAGTAACCCATTACCGGCCTCGCCGCCGCCGGCCGAACACGAAGAAGAGCCGAGCTCGAATCTCGGCGCGGCTGGACGCGTCTGAGACTGCACCCGCGGCGGACTCGGCGGCGCATGCAGAGGACGCACAGACCATCGCACCGGCGCCAGACGTCGTCGTGCAGCAACCCTCGCCAGTGCCCGACTCCACACCCGTGTCAGAGGTCGAATCGCGTTCCTTGCCTCCGCCTCCGCGCACATCCACGGTCCCAGGCCCAGACCTCCCGCCCGCGCCCAGCACACCCTCCACCGCGCCCCCTCCTACACCATCCGTCAAGCTGCGCGGCGCCGAGGCGCCGAGGCGAGACAGCGTGATGATGATGGGCAGCGGCGCCCAAAACTCACATGTATCTGCGATGCTCATCACGAGCGCGCTAGACACCATCGCGACCTAGCGCGAGGCGAAGCGCGCGCCGGCGCTCAAGCTGATCAGTGTCGTGACGCTGAAGGCGGGGCGAGGGGATCATTCGAGTCTTTGTATTCGGCATTCGAATGTTACTTCCTACATTGATGCCACTATTCCTCATCGAATCCTCAACTGCTCTCCCGTACCTCGAAAGAGCCCTGTTTTGTTGGGTGGTGTAGTCATCACAAGCAGATACTTTTTCTCATTATGCCCCACGACAGTTGCTATGTACGATACAATCAAGCGAACTAATGACAACAAGAATCAGCTGATCAATACTCCGCGCGTATGGCCCGGCATCGTTCGCCTCCTCTTCACATCTCCGAAGTGGGGCGCATGCTTTCCGCTGACTTGGACCACATACGCTCGAATCTTGCATGGCGGCTTGATTCGTCCGTACCGCGCCGCATTCCATCCCACGACACAAAGTCCTCGCCGAAATCGCGGCGAAGAACGTCGATCTGGGCGCGGTCGATATCGCAGGACTTGAGTTCCAGGCGCCTCAGTTTCGCGACGGACTGTATTCTGTCCGGGCCCGTACGCCTGTTGAGCACCGAGACAAGCGCGTCGAAAGACACGCAGGCTGGTTTTATTTCGCTAGCCAGCTCTGAGGGCGGTACGAACGACAGTTCTTCGACAGTGAGATCGACGAGATCGCGATGGGTGACACCCTCGTCCTCTGTGAGGAGGCCCAGTAGCGCGTGTTTGCCAGTATGCCCGTAAAAGTGGGCTACGCTGACTTGCTCGAGCGACGACAACATAGCGTTCCACTGCATAGAATCGGTATCGGCGAAAGGATCCGGCGCAGTCGTTTCGTAAGTGTACTCAGAGTAGGCTTCTTCCGTGAAGCGCGAGCCGAGCGAAAGACTGGAAGGTCGACGAAGAGCTTCACGAGTTCTCGTGCCGTGTGCGAGTTGTCGTCACTCAGGCTGAGAGTGAAAGGCAACATGTCAGGACGGACGTAGGAGTACCTGGTGGCTCTGGACACAATCGGGATCAACTCTGCGGCGTCTTGCGTTGTTGTAGCAAAGTGTTGTGCATGATCTGCTCCGACGAGCAAGCGGTGTTGTCCATAATTGACATACATGTCCAAGAGTAGGCTGTCGAAGCGGTGGCCGTCTGCAACCATCGGGGCATAGTGAGTAGCGAGGGATGCCACAACAATATCGATCAAATTGCGGAAAGTGTTCTGCTCCTCGGGTTTGTCCAGAGCGTTAAGCTCGATGCGTGCCGTGGGCGGGAATACCAAGCATTTGAGTAGGTATACGATATGTGCCAGTGGCTCGCACAGTGTGAGCGCTCGTAGGTTTGGTAGCGATACTTGCCGTGTATCATTGATCAGCTCGGGTATATTGAAATCGGGGAGCGCGCTCGGCTGGTTCCAGTCCTCATCGAGGTTCTTGTCACGGTTCAAGGCGAAGACTTCGAGTTTGGAAAGGACCGAAAGTGCGTCGAAAGCATCGTCCATGGTCTCCCATACGGCGCCACAATCGAGTTTCAGGACGGTAAGCGATGCCGCGAAGAGATGAGAGCACGGCAGGCTCGTTTGATCTATCCCACGCAATAACGATAGTTGACGGAGGTTCGACGGCATATGTTGGCCCAAAAAGGAAGTGTATGAGCCGTACAGCTCGTGCCATTGTAGATCAACATGGACGGATTCCAGCTGGGGCATGGGTTTTGACTCCAGCAGTTTGAAGATCTTGTGCGTTAACCAAGTGATCCTATGGGAATCATAGTCGGAGATGTCGATTTCGAGCTGGAATACGCGATGGTTCTCCGAGAGAGCTTTGAGGATCCCGTCGTACAGGTGATAGAGACCAAATGGCGCCCTCACTGTGTCTTCGTCGGTAGCATATCGCAAATTCGAATCCTGTGAGATGGAGATCGACACCGGGAGAGGGCTAGAGCGCCCAAGGGATAAGCTTGCCCAGAACTCGTTCACAACGGGAATGCTCGTCCATAAGATCTTGAGGTTCAGTGCGATAGCGCGCCAGCGCGAGCACACCTGGGATAGGGTGCGAGGGTCATCTAGTGACGTGGTCGGTTCACGCATGGGGTGAAAAGAGAGCTGGCGAGAAGCGATATGTTCAAATATGATCGAGAGTAGCTCAGGAGGTAGCCTTCTCGTGAGCGGTGGAGGGGTTTGCTCTCCCAAGTCGTCGGGAGCAGTGCCAGGAGGCATCACAGTGCGGGCATTGTGGGAGGTAGTCGAGTCTTCGCGGATCATGGGCGACCAGACCTTTGGCAGTGACGTTCCTGGTGTACGTGGAAGGAATTCCGTAGCCCGGGCGCGTCTCGAAGACGGTGTTTATGTGGAAGTCAATTGCTGGCAAGTTGATACTTGCTTGAGGTTTTGCAGTGATGAACGTTCGGGATAAGTTCGGCCGAGCCGCCGAGGCAATGCGCCAGAAATAAGCAATTACATATGCGCAAGCGATTCACGTTCGTCTCTTCTACATTACACGAGCATAGCTCATGCAGAAGACGGGAGAGCCTCCTGAAGGCACAATTTGAGTAGGATGGTTCATGTACGGGTAAGTTATAAGGCGAAGATGCGCGCCAGCAACAAGTTGAACACGCGGTCCGAAGTTTATACGTGCAGCGCGCGAACACCAACACGACGACTGGCGACGCGTCCTCGGAATCCTTCCTGAGTTGATCCTAACGTCTTCAAACTCTCCCCAGGAGGCAGCTTTGTCGGTTCTGATCTAACATCGCTCTTTGTTGTCTGTGCATACTCTTCAATTCTATCCACCCGTGTGTGTCTACGCTGCACCGAGTCCGATGTGTTTGCAGCTCGAGTCGTCAACGGACGTGCGAATGATGCGGATTGCGGCGCATGCAGTCGGGGCTTCAGCTGGCTCGCACAGGGAACTGCATGCCAAGTATGGCGGCTCATGTGGTGCAGTATGGAAGGTGACGACGCATGACCTCGTTGAAAGGGCATGGCGGTTCTTCTGAAGACGGGAATGAGCGCTTAAATTCATCTGAATGTGAATGTGCCTGTTTCAGCAGCGACATCGTGGCCTGTAGGACACGCTAGTACCGTGCCGAGTTTGTGCTGCTCACATGAGGCACTATCCGTTGTCGGGGCAAGCTCACAGATGCTAGGTCTGACTTAGCTCCGCTACCACCACCATCGAGCTACTCTTTCCTTTCCCCGCGTCGAACTCAGATCACGACTTGCAATGGCATCCGCTGCTCGCCGACGGCCTTTCGCTCAATCTCATCCCGATGATAAGTGCGGTGACGGGATGTGGGAAGCATACCTCAACGTCATGGAGGAGGAAGACAGTGCAAACGTGGAGAGCTGGAATGGATCTACCACGGGTATCCTGACCTTTGTTCGTAACATCACCCCTCCGATAACGCGCCCTTGCTGATTCGTCACCCCGACAGACAGGTCTCTTTGCAGCTACCGTTGCTGCGTTCTTGATAGAAAGCTACAAACTGCTCTCACCTGATACGGGTGCGCAAGCTGTGACTCTCCTCGCCCAGTTGGTGTCCATGTCCGATCCAAACGCTACCCTATCTGTTCCTGCGGTTGATATTCAATCGGGACCCTTCCAAGTGTCGCAGACAGCTGTTGTCGTGAACATCTTTTGGTTCCTTAGTCTCATCATTGCGCTCGTCTGCGCGCTTCTGGCAACACTAATACAAGAGTGGACCAGAGAATATCTTCGCGATACTCAGAAACGCTCTCAGGATATGACTATCCAGGAGTATGCCTTGAATCACGTTTTCGTCTGTATGGGCGTCGAGCGCTACGGGCTTGACAATGTGGCGTTTGTCATCGTCGCTCTGATGCATACGGCTGTCACGTTATTCTTGGTCGGTCTCTTGGTCTTTCTGTGGCCGATACATCTCGCGACAGCTTTAGTAGTCACAGGCGCCACAGTTATGACGGCTATACTCTATGTGTTGTCCAGCATCCTATCTCTTCGGGACAACAGTTGTCCCTATCGCACGCCGTTGTCGAGTCTACTTGTTGCCACGCACTGGTGCTGGATTGTATGTCGCGCTAAAGCCAAGAACATGCTTGTGGATCATATACATACGAGATCTCTGAGATTAGATGATGCACACAGCTTCTGGGTGTCTACAACGCGCAGACACCCTGTTTTGAAACAGTCTTTGAATTCGAGAGACATCGACTCCGAATCGGATTCGGGCTCGCTTTCAGAACGTCAGAGTAGACTCATGCAATCCATTGATCTTGAGCAGCTGCAGTTCATCTGGAACAGAGTGGATGTTTATGTACTAGCGGAAGGGGGGAGCGGAGCGATGTTGAAGTATCTCCCTCTTCGAATGGGATTGATTCGAGATCATTCTGAGCTTAGATCATTTCTGGATGTTCTACTGGACCTATTACCCTCGGCTACAGACATGGTTCGCCATGGGATGGAATCGTTACGTGATTCGTCTGATGCGATTGGGGCACTGGCGATGCTTCACCGCTTTATCACGTCGAAAAAACGGGCCAAGGTCTCACGGACTAGACTGTCTAGAGCAATGCTGACACCGAGTGCCATTGCCAAAGTCGATATGATCAACAGAGAAGCATGTGATGCAAAAGATGCGACAATGCTCATAGCGTTGACGAGCTTACGCGGGGAGCTTCTCATTAGGGATACGCGGGATATGGAGGATCCCTATCCCAGGAGTCGATTGGGCAACTGGAGGCAGCGTGCGGCTCCATGGGCTGCCGCGGATGCTTCACGCCCTGTCAGGCTACGGCACCAAATGAATCGATATCTATTCAGACTATTCGATGAACGCAAACCTCTTGCTTCGGAATTCATCCATCTATGGACTGACATCAAGGGCTCGATGCCTCTTCCATTACATTCTGATGACACATCTATCGCTACCATCGAAGACCATGGCGGGTACCAGGAAGAGCTTAGAAGAGAATTTGCAAGAATAGACTCCACAGACGGGAGTGCTCGAAATATACTGACGCTAATGGCCCAGTTCGTCTTGTCTCCCTCTCTCTTACAACGTACCGAGGGCAAATTCGAGCTTGATACTCCTTTTTTGTGGACCACTGTAAAATTCAGAAGTTCGATGTACAATATTTCGTACGAAGTGTATAGTTTCCGCAATCGCTCAAGCCGCTCAGGGCCGATCGAGCGTTCGGACGCGTCACCTCTCTTCCTGTCTATTCTCCACCGAGCTGGCTTGGATGATTGGAGAGAGCCTGGATCGCACTTTGAATCACCGGAATTGGCTTACTGGTCGACGGATAGGTCGAAGGGTCTTCGGAACGTACTGCTTTCGGTACTGCGTTGTCTTGCGTCCCGTGTCACTTTCCCTCCCATGTCAGATCAAGAGCTTTTATCGGACAAAGATTTCGAGGAGTATGGACTGACGGTAGATCCCACGGATGTGGTGGAACAGGACAGTTCGACCATTGTGCCTCCTGTGAACAGATGGTGGCAAAGGCGAACACGCAATGATCTCGAGAGAGGTAGTTTGCGTGCGTCGTCGTCAATAGACAGCCACTCTGGTCCGGACGTGGAATTACATGTCGCGGGTGGTGGCGGCAATGCTCGGAATAACACAGAAAGAATGGGTCCGGATGAGGCAGTAGGCAACCCTGGGACCTCAGAATCAAACCTACAGTCAATCCAGACCGAGCTGGGGATCCGCGGCGAGAGCAGTACGACCCATAGCCCCCTTGGCGGCACCAATGAGATTCGTCCCCCGGACACACGGATCTTCACAGGATCTCAGGAAGTTGAGCCAGGCGGTCAGAGTGCTGAGTCGTATGATGCAGCGGAGACCGGCGGCGATACAATATCGGCACGGGAGTAGGTGCCCTCAAGGATATAGAGCTGGAGGTTGGGCTAAGTCTGAAAAGGGAGATGGCGGCTGAGCGAGTCAGTACGATCTGGGCCCTGGATGTCCTGTCCTGTAAGCATTATAGAGTGCCGAATGATCATAGGAAACACGCCCCTCGATTGTTTTGCGAGGCGCCCACCATACCATATATGCGGTAGAGATCAAGTAAGCGGTTCCCGCGTTGAACCACGCAGGAAGCGAGACTGTTCAGACATGCCTTGCACTGTTCATCAGCCACTGCCCATCCAGCGAGGCGCTGCATATAGTGAGTCGGGCTCTTCTGAGGTGCTGTTCCTGTCATCTCCCTGCGCGTAACCTGCGGTACGCGGGACTCAAGTAGCTGCTATCCGAACAGTGAAGACACTGGCATTTATGCATGAGTGCGTGAGTGCCAATTTCTCCTTGCCAGCCGAGCGGGCAGTTGAGGCGAGTAGAGGTTGCAAGCAGATTTTCATCGTGATGAACCTCGGTATATCTCAGTAGGGCGGTGCATCGAAGATGAGCGCCGGTGGCAACGTCGAAACGCGCACGAACGTGGCACGGCAGACGCACGGCAACGGCCGACGCGTTTCCCGCTTCGAACCTCGCGCGCAGCTCCGTCATACTGCTACTGCTCGTCGCCGGTCGAGCCCAATGGGCTCGTCGCCGCCCGCGGCCAGCATTCCTCTGCTCGCCTCGCCGCCGGCCGAACACGCAGAAGAGGCGCGCTCGATATCGGCGCGGCTAGACGCGTCTGAGACTGCACCCGGCGCCCTCGCCCTCCACCTCCGCCGGCATCTCCAACCCCGAACCTGACACCGGTGCTGAGGAGAGATAGAGTGATCTATGCCATGGGCAGCCGCGCGATCTTACCCTACCGGCCGGCTGCCTCCCTCGCTTCCGTCCCCACTACAGTACCAGGAGCCCCGCGCACAGACGAAGCCTCACCATCTCAAGGGGCTTACTCCGCGAAGGACAAACGTCCAATGTCAGCGCGGTACTCATCCCAAGCGCGCCAGACACGATCGCCGACTCCGGAGAAGCCGAGTGTCCGCCTATGCTCGAGAGAGCAGTAGACGTAGTACTCGAGCTCATCAGAGTCTTGGTGTTTGGACATCGTATGGGAAGCGTTCGTGCTTTTGTATCTAGTACTATACGAATGTTATCATGTGAATGTAGATGTCGTGATGCTGGCTCGTAGTCTCATTTACGCGCATGTTCGTATTCGAGCAAGTAGAGGACTCGGCCTGAGACAGACACATATAGAAGAAACACTGGGCGTGAAGCGCCGTGCAGACCCAAAGGTACAGTAGCTTTCTCAAAGCGAGACTATCTTGTCGACCCGCTCAAACTTTTCTCTGATGATCTCCCTAATCTTCTCATACACCCTCTCGTTCAGGGCAATTCGGACGAAGACTGGCCAGGGTATCAGCGTCGCGTCAGTGATTCAAGCTGACAAGACTGACATTGCTTGATACTGACTGTAGTCCCCTCCGGTATGGGATGCCACAGCGCGGCGCTGATGGTGTCGGAAGTGATACGAATGTATCCTGGCCGAGAGCTAACGAGATGGAGTAAATATCTCCACGATGCGATGAAAGCGAGTGAATTGGTAAGTACCTAACGAGATGGAGTAAATACTGTAGGTAGTTTGTGAGTAGATAGTTTGTGAATAATGATGTACGAGTACGTACTCTCCACGATGCGATGAAAGCGAGTGGAGAGCACGAACGAGACGCGACGCGACGAAACGAACGTGAGTACGTAAGCAAGCGCGAAAGCGCGAAACGGACTAAGTCCTTCTACCTTGTCTACTGACTGCTTGTACTATAGGTATATTCTTATCAGGAAGAAGAGTAGAAGTAGCTGAAGATGGACAAGACTGGAAAGCCGTCGATGCTCCTAGACCGCGCTATACGAGGTGAGCTGCACGACGCCTTTTCCTCAGTTGTAGCCTGCTCACCCAGCAACAGCAAGTTGTACTCCTGCAAAGCGCCCCGACGAAGAAATAGACGCCGCATTGAGAACGCTCTCGGCTTGAGGATGCGATCCGGGGCGCAACAAGTCGACCATGCTCGCCGCGGACGCGTGAAGCTCCTTATCGGCCGCGGAGTTCTCGTCTACTTTGAGCGCATTGAGGATCGTTTCTGCGACGGACACTCTGACGAGACTATGTTCGACGTCCGAGGGGCTATCTAAACGCGTGAATCATGATCTAGCTTGTCATACAGCGACCAAGGTCACTGACACGGCCTTCGTGGCTATCCAACCCAGTTTGTTAAGTGTTTGAACAAATTTGTCATGCCAACCGGTCGCCTTTTCCTCGTCGCTGGCGGGGGACTCGGCATCTGCCGACATTTGCGCCAAGAAAGTCGAGTAGAGGATATCGGACTGGAAGCTGGCGTTAGCCAATGGTTCTTAGTGAGGAGTCAAGGAGGCGCAGACACCTTCTGCTGCTCCGTTAAGCCTCCTAGCCATACGATGGACCGTGCGTCGACGGCGGCGTCGCCGAAAGTAGAGGCTTCGCTCATGGTCCAGGCTACTCGAGCGAAAGGGTGGGAGAAGAGCGGTGAAGGGTTGCGCGGACGAGAGGCCGGTGCTATATGGATGACGTTTGGCACCAAGAATGAAGGGTGACAGGAGACGCCGCTAGTACTGCAGCTGCTGTCGAAGTAGGTTCCCGTCCATCAAGCAAAAAGACGAGGTCATCATACGATGGCACGAGGGACTGTCAAAGCGTATCTGCGAGGTCAAGACCATCGTACCAAGCTGGTGCTAAGCCGTCTGGGCGTCCACTTCTTCAGTAGCTCTCGTCTCCCCAGAATGCAATGTAGAAGTATCTTTAGCAGAGGGAAGCCATATCTTGCCATATACTCGTGCAGATAGATAGTGGACGTCGATGCCAACGCGCCCACACGCGCGACAGCCGCTAAGCCCGTTCCGTTCCGGACGGTACACCATCAACAGTAGTGAGCACAGTACACATAAAGCTGTCTGATATTGCTATAGCAAGGCGATGCGAAGATGAGCGCCGGTGGCAACGTCTCAGCGCGCACGAACGTGGCGCCGCGAGCGCACGGCAACGGCCGATGCGTTTCCCGCTTCGAACCTCGCGCGCAGCTCCGTCATCTCAACTGCTACTGCTCGTCGCCGGTCGAACCCAATGAGCTCGTCGCCGCCCGCGGCCAGCATCCCATTACCGGCCTCGCCGCCGCCCGCGGAGTCCGAACACGACGAGGAACCGAGCTCGATATCTGCGCGGCTGGACGCGTCTGGGACTTCAACACCGGCGGACTCGGCGGCGGCTGCAGAGGACGCACAGACCACCGCACCGGCGCCAGACGTCGTCGTCCAGCACCCCTCCCCAGTGCCATCCTCCACACCCGCGCCAGAGCACGAGCCGCGCTCGCCGCCTCCACCGACATCCACAACCCCGAACCCAACCCAGACACAGTCCGAGCTTCCGCCCGCACCAAGTACACCCTCGACCGCGCCGCCCCCCACACCACCCGTCAAACCACGCGGCGCGGAGGCGCTCCGGCGAGACAGCGTGATGACGATGGGCAGCGGCGCCTTCTCGCCCGGCCAGTCGACCGTCTCCCTCGCATCCGTCCCCGCCTCCACCGGCAATGGGCCCGCACACAGACGGAGCCTCACCATCTCCCGCAGCTCTTTGGGTGGCGAACGCACGTCGCATGTCTCTGCGGTGCTTATTACGAGCGCGCTAGACACCATTGCGAGCAGTCGGGAGGCGAAGCGCGCGCCGGCGCTTAAGAGCGCGGTGGATAGGGCGCTCGAGCTGATCAGAGGCGGCGAGGCGGGGAGCAGGGTTAGGGAGGTGTTTGAGCCGTTAAGGTTGGCGTGCGAGAGCCGGGCGGAGAAGCTGCAGGTCGCGAGTTTGGACTGCATCGCGAAGCTCATCGCGTACGGGTTCTTCGTCGAGGACTACGGCTTCCCTCATCCCCCGCCCCCTTCGAACGTTGCAAGTCCACCGCCGAGCCCGGCGCCGGGCCAGAGCGCGCACGCGAGGAATGGAAGTGATGCGGAGGGTGCGGGTGGGGGCGGGGCGCTGGTGGATGTCGTTGTGGGCACGATCACGGCGTGCCATACGGAGAACTGCAGCGATGCTGTCAGTTTGCAGGTCGTAAAGGCGTTGCTCGCGCTCGTGTTGAGCCCGACGACGCTCGTGCATCAGAGCAGTCTCCTCAAAGCCGTGCGTGCTCTCCATCATACTTGACAATGATCTATTATTAACGTGTAACAGGTCCGGACGGTATACAACGTCTTCCTGACGTCCTCGGACCCCGTGAACCAAACAGTCGCCCAAGGCGGCCTCACCCAGATGATCAACCACGTCTTTGCCCGCTGCGCCGTGTCCACCTCTACCACCGCGCAATCAACCTCGACCACGCCTCCCGCGGACGCGTCGGGGAGCAGCTCGCCGCCGACGCCCGCGCAGGTGCTCGAGCAGGCTCGGGCGCGCGTGAATGGCGATGCGAGGGATAACGGAGACGGCGCGCTCGATACGCCCGTAGGCGAGAACGCGCCGCTCGCGCCGTCGCCCATACCCGCTACGAACGGCCACGCGCTCCCTCCCCCAACCAACGGCGACGCCCACCCCCATGATCCCCAGCCCTCCGAAGACGGAGACGGGCGACACGAGCTCACGACGAACGACCTCTTCCTCAAAGACGCCTTCCTCGTCTGCCGCGCGATGTGCAAGCTTACGATGAAGCCGCTCACGACGGAGGCCGAGCGCGATCTAAGGAACCATGCGACAAGGACGAAGTTGTTGAGTTTGCATATGGTGTTGGCGATACTGTGCGTTCAAGCTCCCCTTCCATCACTGTACAGGACTGATTGGTGGAACAGGCAACAACACATGCACGTCTTCGTCGCGCCCGACGCGGTCGTGTGGTCCGGCAGCGGGCATGCCCCCGCCAGCTTCATCGATATGACGAGCCAGTACTTGTGTCTGACGCTCAGTCGGTACGTGTGCTCTATCGACCGCTTTCGTGTATTCTGGGCTATGTGTGGAATGTGTGGACTTCGGGTTAGGCTGGAGGTTCAAAGGGGATGTGATGATCAGCTGGATATGTGTTAGATGGATCGGACGAGCTGCGTGGAGGCTGGACGACGGGCTAGGCGCGCGTTGTACGGCGCAAGACTGCAAAGCGCTCCAACGCACTGCCACTATACGTCCCGCGCTCAAACTTGCTATCATGTGCTACGTGCGCGCGCATGTCAGTCGAGAGCGGTCCAGCAAACAATGAGCAATGACCAGCCGTAGATGCGCGCGTCTCAGCGAACTGCTCTTCGTTGTTGTCGCTGTCGCTCTTGACTGTTCGCGCCCACGTTCCCCTTCCTAACTTTGGATCAACTCGTGAAATAGAGATGTGGCTGACGATTGATATTGTATAGGAATATGACGAGCCCGGTGCCGCAGGTGTTCGAGCTCAGCATCGAGATCTTTTGGCAGATGGTCCAGGGTCTACGGACGAAGCTCAAGGTGCGCCTCTCCCTCTCCCTCGCCCGTGGACGTCTTCTATACGTCCTGACACGGTGTTACAGCAAGAGATCGGCGTGCTCTTCCACGAGATCTTCCTCCCCGTCCTCGAGCTCCGCACCGCGACCGTCCGGCAAAAGGCCATTCTGCTCGGCATGGTCCGCCGTCTGTGCGCCGACCCGCAAGTTATCGTGGATCTGTACATCAACTACGACTGCGACTCGAACGCGCCGGACAACATCTACGAGCAGTGCGTTCCCTCCATCTCAACATCCCAGCATACGAAACCCAGTACTAACCACGAGCGATACAGCCTGATGAACATTATCACCAAACTCTCCGGCTCCGTCGGCGGCTCCTCCACATCCGATTCCAAATCCAAAGACGCCCAACCGCCCTCCGCCCCTCAATCCCCGCCAGCACACAAATCACAGCTCCCGCCCTCTCTCACGACGAGCGCTTTAGGATTGCCCGAGGTGCCCGGCAGCGGCGCAACAACCGAGGCGCAGCTGCGGCGCCAGGCGCTCGAGACGCTCGTCGCGGTGCTCAGATCACTCGTCACGTGGGGTATCACGGCGCCGAAAGAGCGCGAGAAGGCCGAGGCCGAGCGCGAGCGGGAGGCGGCGGCGCGCTTCGCGGCGAGCGCGTCGACGGATAGACTCAACGGCAATGCCACGCCCGACCGTGGTGCCTCCACGCCCGACCTCAACGCGGACGACGACCCGAGCCGGTTCGAGAGCGCGAAGCAGAAGAAGACGACGCTCGCGGAGGGGCTGAGAAGGTTCAGCTTCAAGCCGAAGAAGGGGCTCGAGTTCTTTAGGCAGAACGGGTTTTTGGAGGGACGGGAGCCGGCGGTGGTCGCGCGGTTTTTGTTGGAGACGGAGGGGCTGAGTAAGGCTGCTATTGGGGAGTATCTGGGCGAAGGGTGCGTTATCCATCTTTGCATTATATGGAAGGGTTTGCTGATACGGGTGTGTAGTGACGCGGAGAACATCGAGACGATGCATGCGTTTGTGGACCAGATCGATATGCGCAATATGAGCTTCATCGCAGCGCTGCGCAACTTTTTGCAGGCGTTCAGGTTGCCGGGCGAGGCGCAGAAGATCGATAGGTTCATGTTGAAGTTCGCCGAGCGGTATATCGAGAGTAATTCGAATACGCCGTTTGCCAATGCCGGTGAGTAGTGCTCTATTTGCGTCCAGGGGTGTTGATACTGATGATGACTCGACCACGCAGACGCCGCCTACGTCCTCTCGTACTCGGTAATCCTTCTCAACACGGACGCGCACAACCCGCAGATCAAGAAACGCATGACAAAAGACGAGTTCATCCGGAACAACCGCGGGATCAACGACAACGCCGACCTGCCCGCCGACATGCTCAACGAGATCTACGACGAGATCACGACGAACGAGATACGCATGAAGGGCGAGCTCGAGGCGTCCATCATGAAAGATCCCAGCGCGGCAGTGGCCGCCGCGCCCGGCGGACTCACCGGCACGCTCGCGACCGTCGGCCGCGATCTGCAGCGCGAGGCATATATCCTCCAGTCGAGCTCGATGGCGAACAAGACGGAGGCGCTCTTCAAGACCATGGTCCGCGCCCAACGCCGCGCGGGCTCGACCGTCGGCGGCGACGTCTTCCACCGCGCGAGCCACTTCGTGCACGTCAGGCCGATGTTCGAAGCCGTATGGCTCAGCCTGCTCGCCGCGCTCTCGGGGCCCTTACACGAGACGGACGCGCTGGACGTCGTCGAGCTGTGCCTGGAAGGTTTCAAGTGCGCGATCCGGATCGCGTGCTTCTTCGACATGGAGCTCGAGCGCAACGCGTTCGTCACGACGCTCGCCAAGTTCACGTTCCTGAACAATCTGGGCGAGATGAAGAGCAAGAATATGGAGGCGATCAAGGCGTTGCTGGACGTGGCCGTGAGCGAGGGGAATAATCTGAAGGGCTCGTGGCATGAGGTGCTGAGCTGCGTGAGCTCGCTCGAGCATATGCAGCTTATCACGTCCGGCGTCAATATGCCCGACGCGCGCAAGGGCGGGCGCACGAAGGCGCTGCCGAACGAGGCGCTCGCGCACGAGAGCCGCAGCACGCATATCACCGTCGCGGCGGACATGGTGTTTTCGCTCAGCCATCATCTGTCGGGCACGGCGATCGTGGACTTCGTGCAGGCGCTGTGCGACGTGTCGTGGGAGGAGATCCAGAGCAGCGGGCTGAGCCAGCATCCGCGGCTGTTCAGTCTGCAGAAGTTGGTCGAGATCTCGTATTATAATATGGGGCGGATCAGGCTGGAGTGGTCGAATCTGTGGGATATTCTTGGGGAGCATTTTAACCAGGTGCGTTTTGTATGATTTAGGTTGAGGTATGTGTGCTGATGAGTGTTGTGCACCAGGTCTGCTGCCACAGTAACCCGCACGTCGGCTTCTTCGCGCTCGACTCGCTCCGCCAGCTCGCGATGCGCTTCCTGGAGAAAGAAGAGCTCCCGCACTTCAAGTTCCAGAAGGACTTCCTCAAGCCGTTCGAGTACACCATGAACCACAACCCGAACCCCGAGATCCGCGACATGGTCCTGCAGTGTCTTCAACAGATGGTCCAGGCGCGCGTGCAGAACATGCGCTCGGGCTGGCGCACGATGTTCGGCGTCTTCTCCGCCGCGTCGCGCGTGCCGACCGAGCGCATCGCGGGCTCGGCGTTCGAGATCGTCACGCGGCTGCACAAGGAGCACTTCACGGCCATCGTGCGCTACGGCGCGTTCGCGGACCTGACGGTGTGCGTCACGGACTTTTGCAAGGTCGCGAAGTACCAGAAGATCAGCCTGCTGGCGATCGCGATGCTGAGGGGGACGATCCCGATTATGCTCGCGACGCCCGAGTGCGGGCTTGCGCCGACTGGCGGGACTGCGGCGGGTACGGCCGGGGACGACCCGATGATCCGGTTCTGGTACCCCGTGCTGTTCAGCTTCTACGACGTGATCATGAACGGAGAGGACCTCGAGGTCCGACGGCTGGCGCTCGACAGTCTGTTCAGCACGCTCAAGCGCTACGGCGCGGCGTTCCCGGTCGAGTTCTGGGACACGGTCACGCAGGAGCTGCTGTTCCCGATCTTTGCGGTGTTGAGGAGCAGCCAGGATCTGAGCAGGTTTAGCACGCAGGAGGATATGAGTGTGTGGTTGAGCACGACGATGATTCAGGCGTTGAGGGATCTGATCGATCTTTATACGTTTTACTTTGAGATCTTGGAGCGCTTCCTCGATGGCTTACTGGACCTATTATGCGTGTGTATCTGCCAAGGTACGCTTCTGCTTCCTCCTTCAAGCGCTCTTTCGCTGATTACGCTCTTTTAGAAAACGACACGCTTGCACGGATAGGCACGTCATGTCTGCAACAACTGTTGGAGAACAACGTGAAGAAGCTCAGCCCGGCACGATGGGACCGCGTCGCGTCAACGTTTGTCAAGTTGTTCAAGACGACAACACCGCATCAGCTCTTCGATGATAGCCTACGCGTAGAGATCAACAGTGCATCACCTGAACCTCAAGACGCATCCGAGGGCAACGACTCGACTATCCTTCCCGCACCGCTGTCGCCGTCTCAGGAGGGTGCGCCGGCAACGGGCAAGCCGAGCCTCCACGAACGACGACGCATCTTCAAGCAGATCATCGTCAAATGCGTGCTGCAGCTCCTGCTCATCGAAACAACGAACGAGCTCCTCCGGAACGAAGACGTCTACTCCACGATCCCGCCGCAGAACCTGCTGCAGCTCATGCAGGTCCTCGACCACTCGTACCAGTTCGCGCGGATGTTCAACGGCGATAAGGAGCTCCGGACCGGGCTGTGGCGCGTGGGGTTCATGAAGCATCTGCCGAACTTGCTTAAGCAGGAGTCTTCGTCCGCTGCTACGCTCGTGCACGTTTTGTCGCGCATGTACTTCGACCCGCGAGCGGAGCATCAGGCCGCACGACCGCAAGTCGCCGAGCGACTATTACCGCTCGGTCTAAGGGTACTGCAGGACTACAACTCTCTGCGCTCGGACACGCAGGCGAAGAACATCGCGGCGTGGACGCCCGTCGTGGCCGAGATCGTGCAGGGCTTTGTACGGCTGGACGACCGGGCGTATAACCGGTACTTGCCGGCGATATACCCCGTTGCTGCGGAGCTGCTTGCAAGGGATACGAGTCCGGAGGTCAGGGAGAGCTTGCGGGATTACTTTATGAGGGTCGGGTACTCGCAGGGGATCGTCGAGCGGCCGGCATAGGGAAGAGTGGACTTGTTGGGCCGCGGTTGCTCGTTCTTGCGGATTGATTGTGTGATGTGGTTATTGTATTCGCGTTCGCGTTCTATCTACTTAGTACTGTAGGACTGTGGATCTTCATTTATGGCGTATTTGTTCTCTATATGCTGGGTTTCTGTCTTCGGTCAGAGCTCCCTTGGGCTAGCGTGGGGTCGAGGTGCGGTGTGTAAGAGTGTGTTCGGAGAGTGGGAATCGGATCGGACCTGTCGGCCGATCGATGGTCGCGCGCGCGTGAACAGAGAACGCGTCGCGTATGTTGGTCTTGACGTCCACCATCTTCACAATGCGTACATAGCAAAATCTGGCTTCGCTCTTCCAGAGACATCCTTATTGTTGGTAATCAGTATAGCTTTTGAAGTAGTCCCGACTCGGTCGTACAGAGCATGCAAGGATCGCACAGGGAATCGGCACACAGTTTTAATGGCATTCCGGGCAACAAAAGCTACTGAAGAAGCTGAAACACATAATCATCCGATGCTGGTCGTTCACCACGCGCTATTCTTACAAAAGATAAAGGAAAGACTGCCATTGGGCAGGTACGAATCACTACGCCGTCCCGCGTTCAGCCGAGGTTGATGTTCGCGATGAAGTCCTGGACGGTGTTGCCAAGCTTCTCGAGGACGGCCTCTCTGACCTTGGCGTAGAAGCTACTGTTGAGGGTCATGGCCTGATAACCTGATGCACTTCGTCAGTATGACTGGTTTCTGCCAGGTCATGGAGTAAGGACACACCCGCGCGGAAGCTGACCGAGCTCGATCCGAAGGAGAAGAAGAGAATGTCGAGGACCTCAATGCTAGCGCTGAAGGTATGAGCCGTAAGTTTGAACACGGGGTCATCGCCCGAGCTCCTGTGCAACGAGACGCATTAGCATCATCCCCACGATGACAGGTCGAGCGAAGACGTACACGACCGTGCCGACTTGGAAGTTCGCGCTCTGAGCTGACTTGGCGCTGTTGTTGTAGAGCCTGTACGCGTCCTTGTTGGCCCCGCTCTTCAAAGAATCGATGGTCTTCACGAGCAGAGGCAGCTCGTTCGGGGAGAGGATCGCCTTGGCTATATCAAGGACGAGCGCGGACACGTCTCCGTAATCGTCAGTGTTGTTGATCTTGTCAAGGCTGGTGATAACATGGCTTTTGTAAGCTTCACAGCATAAGGAGATCGAAGTGAACATGCTCATACGCGAATCGCTCGACGATCCAGCCGACCGTCTCGAGGACCTTGCGGTACTCGTCGTACCATTCGTCGACCTGGGTCTGGCGGTTGAACTTGGCATTCGCGGCCAGCTGGGCCAGGAGGACCGAGTTCATAACGTCCGCCTACAGACATCGTGTAAGGTTCCACCGTTCAGCGTCGAATAGGGAGAGGAGACCGACCTTCATTTGGCCGGTGATGTTCGCCGCGAACGAGCTGCAGACACCGTCGTTGACGAGGGCACTCTCTTCGTTGTCAGACAGAGTGATTCGGCCGTTCTTGTCGTAGAAGCCGAGGTCGAGGCCGGCGATGAAGTCGAGCGTTTGCTGAAGGTTGCGAGACGACATGGCTGCGAGGAGCGAGAGAGCTATACAAGGCTGGTTGAGCTGGATGCTTTGCCTGTTCTTTCACCGACGAGTGCACTGTGTCTTTTATACCAGTTCCAGTGAGTTCACGTGTATGAAGAATCGCGCAGAATACCCAAGTCGAGTTCCAGTGCTCGCGAACGCCTCTGCGTTCAGCTCAGCTCTGAATGCCGAGTATCGGCATTGCGCGGGGAGCCTGTGCTTCTTGCACGTTCTCATGGACTGTGGATGTTCGGCGCTTCAGAGCCGGCGACGATGCACCACCGGCGAAGAATGGCCCAGCATGCTCGAGATCGAAGCCGCAGGACTTCGGAGCTTCGGTCGCTCGGGTGTCACTCTGCTACCATGTCATGCCTTGGTCCTTGGAGGTGTCTGCACGACGTGCAAAGTTAGTATTAGACGATGCCCCTCTTTCATATTTTAAGACACTGATGCTCACCACTTAGACCTCATATTTGATCACGAGGAAACTCCGCAGGGATTCCTTGTCGAGACTGTTCTGAATGAAACGACGTTTCTGCGGCATTCTGAAGTTGGTGTACATATTCCATAGAATTTGAGGTGCTGAAGCCACTTAGCAATACGCAATATAGCATCAGAGTCTTGACATGGGCATCGAGGCGTACGGATCATTGTAAAGCAGAACGGTACAAAAATAGTCAGACAGCTGGCTACAACGCCGCAGAACATTCCTTTGAAATGTGAGGGAAGTTCGTCGACGACGAGATGTCAGTTCACCGCTCCGAATTGAAGCAGAGCCACGTCATGTGCGAACCTGTAGAAGCAGTCCATATACACGGAGAATATGGCCAGGTTGAGAGGGAAGCCGAGCGCTGACAGGCGATTTGTACGACATGCGAGCTCACCGACAATTCACGAGGAGGAGCAGGGTGTGGAGCATGTGCAATGCCGATGGTCTCCCTCTCCTTCTCAAAGTAATTTGTGCATATCTACGACGCTCCGGGGCGCAAAGCTCATGATCGGCGACCTTGGAGACAAGACGGCTGCCATCCGGGATCGACAAACCTCGCATCCAAGGCTAGTACAGTAGCGCATGCTTGTGCTTGTATAGGTGAGATGTGCACGGAATCTAGTAGAGGTAAGATACGTGCATCGTGCATGCATCAGCCACCAGGGCGTTGAGGTCGCCAGACGGCGAAGATGGGAGGGCGAGCGAAGCGTCGAAAGCCCCAAAGAATCACGACGGCGTGAGTCTCGATCCGGCCCGGGATCCGGCCTCCAGGGTTAGGGTTAGTTTGAGCGCGCACTTTTATCTCTACCCCGTCGACGTCGTGTTGTGCAATGTTGTTTGACAGTTGTGGGTCATTAACTGGCGTTCTCTTGTGCCCCTTTCCTACTTCTGACTTGACGGCTCGCAACCTGCTGCCCGCCGTGCTCACGGCAAAGGGACAAGCGGGATTGGGTTGGCATCACTTGGGCATCACTATGCTGCAGAGCGACTGAATTGATACGAAGACGCATGCATTCTCCGTTCTCTACACAGTGGGATAAATCTCATGCTGTCATCGGGCTCTAAAATGTTGCGGGAAGAGTTCTAGGCGCGACGCCACAGAACATTCCCTCGAAGATGGTCGCGCCGCGTGTCGGGGTACTGTCGAGTACCCCGTCGCCAACCGAAAAGGAGTAAGAAACTATCGACGTCTGCCAGCTCGAGAAGGGTCAGAAGAGATCCAACTACCACATAGGGTAAGGAAAGAGCTCCAGTGCATAACTCAAACGACGTACGGGTTCGTCCGCAAGGCCACATGGGGTCCATTTCGACGGTTCACGCGTCGCAAGAGTTTGAGTATGCAAAACGGCACTGAAGTCTTTCCGCGGGTTCAGTGCTTGACGTGTTCCATATGGCTGAGGTATAGCCCGACGGTCTACCAAACAGATCTGGAGTGACTGCTGTGAGCTAAACTATACCGGTATAAGAAGACGGTAGCCCCTCACCCTCTCCAGGAGTAGCAGCCGCGGCCTCTCTTGTTACCCTTCACCACCCTCGTCAGCATAACTATGAGCGACACCACCAGGCTAGTCGGTGACGCTGCTGTCGACGCACGATCCATCGTATGGCTGCGGGGCTTGACAGAGCAGCAGAAGGTGACTGTAGACCTTCGACTGTAGCGTCCAAACCCACTGGCTAACGCCGTCATCTAGTCTGACATCCTCTGCTCGACTCTCCTGGCGCAACTGTCGGCGGAGGCTGAATCCCCCGCTGGCGACGAGAGCAAGGCGACTCAATGGTACAACAAGTTTATCGGTACGCTTGGCAACGTGGGCTGGGTGATCAGAAAGTCCGCGTGAGTGAAAACAGTCGCGTATAATGAGTCGTATGTTAGAACTCACATGCATTACAACAGCTCCTCGGGCGTGAAAGAAAGCCTTATCAAGGGACCCGTCGCGGATACCATTCTCAATGCGCTCGAAGCCGACGAGAACGCCGACAAGGAACTTTATAGCTCCGTGGCGCGCGAGCTGATCGACATGTTGCGCGCCGGATACCATTCCAAAGCCGAGAGTGTTCTTGACGCGGCGTCCATCTCTTCGTCGGCGCACTTCGCAGGAATACAACTCGCTGTCGCCGAGTGAGTAGGCTATACATCGAGGAAATAGCGTCGTGCAGCTCACATTGTATGATGCGATGTAGGAGCGTCGACGATTCTCTGGTCTTGACGATCTTCGGCTACTTCTACTCTTCTTCGAACAACATTGGCACCGCGCTATGGCATCCGATACAGGAGGGCGCCGCTGTCAGTATAAAGCAATGTCAGTTTTTCACTTCAATCACCGAAACGACATTGCACGCACGCTCATATCCTGCCAGTCTTCGTTCAACTTGCTCTGAACGAGAGCGTATATGCGGGAGTGAGGGAGGCCGTTATCAAGAAACTCGAGGAGGCCGACAAGATGGGGTTGATAGTTTCGCTCTGAGCTGGAGCTGCACAGCGCTTGAAGCTTGAAGCCCAGTCCTTCTCTTATATGTGTATGTTACAGACTGAGTTCTCTGCTCGCTCGGATACGGACATGACCGAGATCAAGACTGCGAGGCAGCATCGTGGCAACTGGATCTTCATGATGGAATTCATATACTTCGTAGACTGTATACAAAAACGTCAATGCATCCCGACTATTTCCCCAAATCAAGACGCCAATTATTGACAACCCGAACACTCCATTCATCGCACTCTCCAGCGCCGGCGCGCGTTTGGCTCCGCAGGGATTGGCGATGGTGTCCGGCGCGCTCGTGATGAGCACCGCGCTGACATGACTCGTCTGTCCGCCGCCGAGTGAGCTGCGGGAGGTGGTGAGGGTCCGTCTGTGCGCGGACTGTATTGGGTGCAGGATTCCAGATGTCGGCGGCGGCGGCGAGCGCGGCCCAAATCCTGGCCCGGGCGTGGAGTCGGGCGTTGGCGAGGGCTGCTTGACGATTACATCTGGTGCCGGTGCGATGGTCTGTGCGTCTTTGAGTGCAGGTTCAACATGCGCCGCTGAGTCCGCCGCGGTTGCAGTTTCAAGCCGCGCCGACATCGAGCTCGGCTCCTCGGACTCCGCTGGCGGCGGCGAGGCCGATGGTGGGATGCTGGCCGCGGGCGACGAGCTCATGGTCAGGCGACGAGCAGAGTTGGGATTTGAGATGACGGAGCTGCGCGCGTCCCGAGGAAGGTTCGGAGCTGGGAAACGCGTCGGCCGAGGTCGGCCGTTGCCGTGCGTCTCGCCCGCGCTTCGAGTCTTCGACGTTGCCGCCGGCGCTCATCTTCGCATCGCCTTGCCACAGCCCAGTCAAACAACTTACTGTGCACTTAGCTCGCTACCATCGATGGTATACCGCCCGGAGCAAAGCGGGCTTGGCGGGCGCATTGGCAATTTGGCATC